TAAATTTTATTATTACAGTGGAAACCGCCATAAAAAAGAATCATGGTCAAGAACCAATCATAGTCTGGTATTTTATGTAGAATCCTGAAAGACACACATATATAATTTGATGAAGATAAACATTTTGGGATTGTGGTATGATATCTGATCGTGAACATTTCCAGGCCGATCGATCTCAAAGCCTTGCCCATGTGAAATGAAATATTAGATTTTGTAGAATATGATGCAGCAGAACTTTAATAGGATCTAGCAGGGCGGTCAGCCTGTGTTATATTGCTAGACTACAAAATAACGCTACGCTGCCTGAAGATAAAGGCGTTTCGGTACATAATACATTATATACACACACAATGAAACAGATTCCTCAAATGATGAAAGAACATTTTTCACTACAGGAAAAATAATTCTCAAAGATTGGAGTCTAAATTTATAGATCAATCCATCCTCTAAACATTGGTTTTCAGGGATTGAGATTTAGACATCTCTGGTCAATCTAGAAGAGCAGTGCTCAAATCGAATCATTTTTCTTCTAAACTAGATTGTTTCACCTCCTTGATTCCACAAATATCATTGTTATATTACAGAGCCAACAACAAACCTTCTTCAACAGTCATCTATCTAATCTACAGTTTGGTTAAGTTTGTTTGTGTTTTACGTCGTATTAACATCGATGGTCATTTAAGGACGTGCCAGGTTTTGGTGGTAAAGGAAAGCTGGAGTTTCCGGAGGAAAACCACCGACCTACGGCCAGTACCTGGTGACTGCCCCACGTAGGTCTCGAACCCGCGACCCAGTGGTGGAGGAATATAGTATTAGACTGTCAGACGCCTTAACCTCTTGGCCAACACGGCCCCTCCATTTACAGACAACACAGCAGATTACATAAAACACATTAGGAATCATAGCAAGTCTTTGGTTAACATTACGCCAAACTTAATAAGTTACATTATTGTTTGAGATAACTACCTAAATGAAAACATCATGCTGTTTATTTAATCTCCAATAATCCCTGGGGGGCTAACGCATAAACTCTGACTCCATATAGGGGGGTGGGCTTATTACAGGACAGTGAAATAACATTGTTGGCATTTTTACTGAACTGCAGTTAATATTGATGGGCTTTCTAACAGACATGGGTTTATAATTCTTATTACTGGATAGTTAAGGTAAGGTCATATGCTACATTGTGAAAAGATTCATGGTTGTGCTACATGAATCTTTTCAAAATCCATACTAACCAACCTGAAGATTTTTTTTTAGAAACAGATGCTACATTGTTTACATTGAGAAACCTATCAAATATGTTTTAAGAATGGTACCGGTTGCGGGTAATTTGGGCTGAAGTGACAAAGGTCCCAGAGACTATATAATCAGTATGTTCAAGAGGAGGCAATTTCAAAATCAGGCGAAATTGGCATGATTATGTATAATCTTTTTAAAGCAGAAAATTCTGACAGAATAGATCAGCAGAATGCATAAGGGGGATAACTCTAACTCAATCAGAGATAAATGTCTCTTACACAAACCACAGTATAAGATGTAAAGGCCTTAATCAGCCACCAGAAGATAAAATCACTAGGAATCACAATCCTATGAAATAATTAATCAGACAAATTGCCTGACAACTATTGTTTTCCTTGAGTCATTTAATGTTTATATAACTGTTTCTGATTAGTCAGTTTTGATTAGTATTTTACTGGTAGGGAGAGATCGTGACACATCTCTGTATGATGAATAGGGCAATAAAATACTGCGATAACATCAGGTAACGTGGAAACAAACCTAACATGACAATATATTCTCCGTGTCACACTGATGTCACACGGAAAAGGACAAGAGTTTACAAGATACAGGTATCCTACTGATTATTGGGGTTTATATTGTGGTAAACATGGGGGGTTAACTAAGGGTTTATATTGTGGTAAACAATGGGGGTTAACTAAGGGTTTATACATTGGTAAACAAGGGGTAACTAAGGGTTTATATCGTGGTAAACAAGGGAGGTAACTAAGGGTTTATATTGTGGTAAACATGGGTGGTAACTAAGGGTTTATACATCGGTAAAAAAGGGAAGTATAACTAAGGGTTTATATTGTGGTAAACAAGGGAGGTAACTAAGGGTTTATATTGTGAGAAACAAGGTGGTAACTAAGGGTTTATATTGTAAATAAGGAGGTAACTAAGGTTTTATCTTGTGGTAATCAATAGGCTTACTATGGGTTTATATCGTGGTAAACAAGGGGGGTAACTTAGGGTTTATATCGTGGTAAACAAGGGGGGTAACTAAGGGTTTATATCGTGGTAAACAAGGGAGGTAACTAAGGGTTTATATCGTGAGAAACAAGGAGGTAACTAAGGTTTTATCTTGTGGTAAACAATAGGCTTACTATGGGTTTAAATCGTGGTAAACAAGGGGGGTAACATAGGGTTTATATCTTGGTAAACAAGGAGCTTACTTATTAATCTCAAAATCATATTCATAAAACTGGAAAACAATGTGGACTGTCAAATACCCTCGAAAAACTTTTTTTTTTAAACTGGATGATAATGTTATCAACACACAAATAATTCAATCATTTAATGAATGGGGTTTATCGCTTTTTTATCCAGATTTTTTACGTTATTTATCATGTGAACCGACGGGTGCCTCCTACTGAAGTCATCAGCTGTGAAATTACCTGGCATTGATTTCACATTTATTGTTGAGTTAATGGCTAAAAACAATGAATTTGAATGACAAGCTGTCTTTGTTTGAATTTATTGACACACTGAAACCACGGCAACCAAATATGATCTATTGGCGATAAATCTGTCGGTGAGCAGGGATTTGTTAATTTCCGTTTTCTACCTGGCCCCACTCAAATCTCTATTTGTGAATAAAAGCAAATTAATACTCAGCAATTTCCTTTTATATTTTCATGAAAATGCATTATAAAGTAAAAGGACAGCGGGGCCTGCCTGTACCATTCACTTATGTTATGTCATTCATTAGAATCAAATTGACACATACCATATCAATTTGAATATTAATGAATTAGTCTGGGCTATACTAAATATATAACATCAGATCTAATAGTCTAGCCTTTGCCATACTATTGTATCAAAATTAACATTCATGAAATACAATGTAGTCTAGACTATGATACATATTTAATAAAAATCATATCCAAATTTACATTTATGTACGAGGCTTAGCCACATCATTTAAATTGAATAAAAGATTCATGAATAAGCCTAGACTATGCTTTATATATAATATAGAATTTAATAATAGACTTCAAAACCTGAAGACTCCAGATAAAATTTGACGGATGTAATTTTATACAATTTTTGTTTGTCTGCTTACCAAGCAAAAATATTTAGATCATATCAGGCCACACAATAGGGATACTTACACAACTTACAAATACACCTAACAAATGATTACAAGGACTTAATATAGGAGGCACGGTAGTCTAGTGGTATGACGCCGGGCTTGTGACTGAAGGGTTGTGGGTTCAAGTCATGGCACAGCACTGTGTTATATCTTTGAACAAGACACTTTATTCTGCTTGTTCCAGTCTACCCAGCTATAAATGAGTACAAGGTTGCATTTGGCAGTGCTAGAATTGTTGAATGTTAGCTTTGAGCACCGAAATGACAGCACCGGCTGTATGCTCCCCAGGGAGTTGAGAAAGATATTGGCTGGTTACAAAGGCCATATATAACCGCAGATAATAATGTGTGAACCGCTTTGAGCGGTATATATGAACCTTGAATTATTATTATTTATTATTATATGTATCAGTATCCAGTGGTGAATACAAGTACTTCAGAGTTTACTGTCTAATGGTATAGACCAATATCATACAAATTAAGATACTTGTCAAAACCACAGTAAAGAGCCATGTTTTCATGTCAGGCAAGTCATAATAATGGTCTCAAACCTGTCTCAAATCTGCACAATCGATTACTGAGTCACAGTCATAGGTTCATTACACGAACAACAGCAAATCGGCTAATTCTCTAGCTGAAGATTTAAATAATGAATCGAGTTGGTACGACAACGCGACTCCGGTATCAGCAGTTTATACCTCCTGACAAAACCCATTGTGAGTTCATTCAATATTAAATCTCTGACAATTGTTGAACTTCTATTCAATTTGAATGGATAATGCCTATAAATTGTTCTGTTAAAATTCAATCCAAGGCATAGCTCCTTTTATGGATCAAGACCCCAAAAGAAACAAATTTAAGCACATCTGTGGTCCATGATAAACATCTCAGGGCCATGATAAAACATTCTTAGGGTATAATATAAAATCTCTCTAATATGTCAAAGGCAGAAGAAGATTTGAAGTCAGCACTCACTCAGTTACTGTTTGCCCCTAAGGGACTCAGCTACATTGTAAAATAAATTTGAATTTCTATATTACCTACTCCTATAGTTTATACAGATTTGGTCTGATTTGGCGAAGTACATTTTGGTAGCATGCATATGGTTCATAAGACTTTATGGGACAGAATTAAAAAAAGCTTATTTTTTTTATAATTTTTTAGGTGTAGTTTTTGGACAAAGTGGGTCCATTTGAATGGACAATACCCTGTACGCTAAAAATGAAAAAGTTTTTTGATTGTCAATTTCACTGTTAGGCAGAAATTGAACTATTCTATGGTGAAGAACGAGCCGTCTACCCTTACAGCAATCTCTACAGAACCTTATGGTTTCTACTGCTATCTACAGGACTGTCCCAGTACTACAACAGTAGCAGGTCTCAGTCTACAGTAGGCAAGAGATGAATACTTAAGGTTTCCACCTGGAGTTAAACCGTGGCAGTCTGAGTTAGGCTGTGTCCAATGCCAATGACAATAGAAAATCCAATCAACAATTTTAAACAAGGGGGACAACTGATAAAACATCTGACTCATTAATCTGACAAAGGGAAAATAATAAATATCATAAAATCTTACAAAAAACAGTAAAATCTGTACCATATATGTCTGATGTATTTCACACTTACCTTGTTGGCTGCGTGAATTTGCCCGTATTTGATGATCACTAATTTTCCTGTAACATTGACGTGCAGGAGACTAAGCTGTTTAAAATCTGCTTTTGTACCGTAGTTTGCATAGACTAATTTACCCTGAAAGTAAAACACAGATCATAGAGTTGTCTCCCTGCAAGGCCATGAAGTTCAGATATATATTTGACATGCTGGGACTTAATATAAATAAGCTTAAAAGCAAATGCCGAAACATGGGTGAATAGGTGTTATTTCATTTAGTGTAAGTTACCTAGACAGCAAGTATCGAAGAGAAGGAATTAAAGGGCATATATTCTGGATGTACATTCAACATGGTAGAGAGAAGTTATCTCCCTTAGTGTAAGTTACCTTGACAGCAAGTATCGAAGAGAAGGAATTAAAGGGCATATATTCTGGATGTACATTTGACATTGTAGAGAGGAGTTATCTCCCTTAGTGTAAGTTACCTTGACAGTGAGTGCCGGAGAGAAGGCATTAAAGGGCATGTACTCTGGATGAACATTTGACATGGTAGAGAGAAGTTATCTCCCTTAGTGTAAGTTACCATGACAGCGAGTGCCAGAGAGAAGGCATTAAAGGGCATGTACTCTGGATGTACATTCAACATGGTAGAGAGAAGTTGTCTCCCTTAGTGTAAGTTATTTTGACAGCGAGTGCCGGAGAGAAGGCATTAAAGGGCATGTACTCTGGATGTACATTCGACATGTTAGAATGACTCTCTAGTATCACAGTTGAGTTTCGTGATCTCACAATGATGCTGTTAGGATTCGTACTGAAATAGAGAGGATTATTTTGTCACAATATGTTATGCCTTTATAACATAAACTTTTTTTTTTTGTATTTTTCTAAGAAAAAAATATATAAGACATTTTCCTGACATTGTTGAAATACTTTGACACATGGTTGAGTTCTATTAAAGTATTAATAGAACCAAAGAGATAATTTAAAATCAAAATTGTCCATGTAAAAAATATTTATTTTTTCAGTAGGATTGAAATATGAAAGGCCTATGGACCTGAACTGCTTACCTATTGTTTTTCAATGTTTTTGATTTAAAATACTACATTGTTTTATGTCAAAAAACACAATCATTCTTCACCCCATTTATCTAAAGGACAAACATATCATTAACCTAAGGCCTCATACTTCTGTCAAAGACATTTTTAATACTTTATCCTTTGTGACCTTGAAAGTGAGTCAAGGCACTTTATCTCATAGCATTTGGAAAAAATATAATATGACACAGGCCAAATACAATGGCTCTCAGACTGACCAAAAAGTCCATGAGGCCTGTATCACTCTCTCTTTTATTCCATATCTGAACAAGATAGAAATGTGAAAATGTTTCTGTCAATTTGATGCCACGGTAGCCATCTTAATTTTCTCATTGAGTCAGACAAGTACAATTGGTCAGAGAAATAAGATAAGAGTTGTACTGATTTGGTTGCTGGGTATTTCTGCGAATTTGTTGAAAATGTTCATATGAAAGATTTCTTGTTCATTAAAAAATTGATTAGGCAATGGGTACAGTTATTATACAAGGTGGCCATCTTGAATTTCCTATCAACCTAAAATAAGATTCATGTGTATATTCATCGAGCTACAGGAAGAGTTAGATAGAATTGGAACTGCATAATGAAAACATCAAAGGCAGGGCGACCATATTTGGGCCAGGAGCTAAAAAATATGTTTAAAGGAAAACGTTTGCAAACAGATGCTGTGCGATATCCCTTGAGGTCACCGGCAATTAACTCCTGCCAAGTAACAGGAGGCGACATATCCGCAGGGTATTAACAAGGGTTTAATAGAGAGCTGTACTTACTAGTTGGGGTATGACAGCGTCACACCATATTTGCGAATGTCAATGCTGTCAAAACGGAAGGTCCCCCACATGTCTCGGACATACTTAATGAACCTGTTGGTATAGCCCACTCCGGACAGATGTACAAATTCTGTCACCTTTCTGAAACAAAAATACAAATTCTGTCACCTTTCTCAAGCAAAAACACAAATTCTGTCACCTTTCTGAAAGAGAAACACAAATTCTGTCACCTTTCTGAAAGAGAAACACAAATTTTGACAGCTGCTTCATTTTTTGTCGCCTTTCTGAAAGAATATACATCCCCCACCCCCCCCTATAACTCGACCTTTAAACATAATTGAAAGTAAAAATAAATCACACTTGCATATAAAGTGCTGATAATGTGAACCAAGATCTGTATTATCAGTCACAAAGTCAGAAAACAGAGAATGAGCACATGGTCCCAATAAGGATAGTCAAAATGAAAATAAATCCGGAGCGAAACCTTCTCAAGAAATGTAGTTACACATTGATACACCTGAATTACATTTCTTGAGAAGGTTTCGCTCCGGATTTATTTTCATTTTGACTATCCTTATTGGGACCATGTGCTCATTCTCTGTTTTACCTGAATTACATGTTAAAAATTGAAAGTCACAAAACAATTAGTATGCTTAGGTTCTCATCCTTATAAGTTATAAGCCAATTCATATCTATCAAATTTCTAAACCCTCAGCCAATCGGCTGCGAGGTTGCAATTTTCACAAAGCATTCGTAACAAAATGGCGGACCGCGATAAGGAAATGAATTTTTTGATGCTCCGGCAAGCTTCAAATCAAAAGTGTGGAAACACTTTGGGTTCCCGTGTATCGACGGCTTATATATCTCATTCAGTTGATATTTTAAATAAAGGTGTATCGAATCGAAATAATCGAATCATGGTACAAATATCGAGATACATATCGAATCGTGGGTTAAGTGTATCGTGACAGCTCTAAATTAAATAGTGGCGTCCAGATCAAGTTAGTCCATAGAGGGAAGTGTTCACACACTGTCAATGTGAGGTTAACAAAGCAACATTAACTCATTCACCCCTGAAGACACACTTAAACTCTTCCGATTCAAAGGTTATGGAACAGTTCATTATGACATTTCAGGGTTAAATGAGTTTTAATGATTAAAATGCCAACAAATATTATTTCAATGTCCTGTATTAAGCCCACCTCCCTCATCTTTGAGTGATCGGAGATTATGTGATGGCGCTACTGACCTTTATGACAGATATAAACACATTAGAGACATTACCAGTATCGTACAGATGTAATTACTAAGACAAAAACATCTACTACAGCCTGGTAAATACATTAAACAGCTCTATTTTAAACATTTAATTTGATTTGATAGGACATGCAAAAGTTTTGCATGTCGCAAAACAGTTACAACACCCGAGTCTTTCGACAATTTTTTTAGTAGAACAATTTCAAAGCTGACTGAAACATAATCCTAAAAGGCAATCTCAGTTTATACCAGTCCAACTTAAAACATGATCACAAATTTAAAGTACATCTGATGGTGCAGGACCCATCAACATAACACCTTGACCTGCAGGCTTGTCTTTCAATAACACTCAAATTGAGAGAAAATCAAATTTAGATTCTCCTAGCCCTTAATTATGTACTTTGATTATGTGGGGACAGGTATAAAATGTAACTGTTGTCTGTTTTCACGGCTCTATATTGTGAGCTTTGAGCCGAGGTGTTACTCAGAGTGGCTTAATATTACACTAGTTGATTACATTATCATAGAAACATTGTGTGGTGTTTTAGAATCACTCTCACTGTGTGTGATAGGGGATTATCACAGCTTTGCTAATTATAAGTTACCGTCATTCTGATCAACAGCACCGGTAAAACCTTATTAGTCATCCATGTTATCCTGAACAACAGGCTCATGGACTATAGCTTTCACATATTTTTCTATTATATTTACAATGCCAATGAAAAGACTAAATGGACAATTCTAAATCTGGCTGCTGAGTCAGATATAACAGAATGATCAGGTCAGAAAATAGAAAAATAACAGTTCATTGATATTTTTTACACTTGTATATATTGTAACCCCAAACTTTACCAATCATAACTATACAACACAGCATTAATTCTCCATTAACTCTTTACAACACAGTAACAGTTACAGTCCAGAGAGATAAAGAATCATACTGACTGTAACATATATAACATTAATCGTATTTATTAGCAAATCTGATCCTTTAATGCCAGATGCTGTGGAGATCGTACACGGATGAGAGATGAAGTTTTGTCAATTTGTATTTACATGAAATTAAAAGCTTTCTAAGAATTTGTCATGAGGATATATTCTAGAATGTTCACCTATCTATTCATACAATAAAAGGCCTCACCTGAACTGTTTTCATGTGTAGGTGAAGCATAATTGTATATAACATGAGCTTAGCCACTGAACATGTTTTTATTATAATTAGATAATGTTAGAAGAAGTTTAACACTTTACTCTGTTGGCCACTAAAGAAAGTCAAGGTCATTTTTATAAGGAAACTTTAAAGCTCTAGTGCTACTTCCCAGATACCTACTCACTAAATACCACAAACCTCCTGGGTTAATATTTCAGTTTCCAGAAGAAGCTGTTCATGCAAGAACCTGCTTGTCGTTTGAGAGAGATTTATTCCTATAACCTGTTCTTTGGAACTAAGAAATTGCCCCTCGCTAGTTCCAATGATTGCTGTCTTAAAAACAAGAGGCCCAAGGGCCTTAGCGGTCACCTGAGTTATATCATAGGTACTGGTAGCTTTATTTTATTGTTTAGATGTGATGTGGAAATCAGCATGTAAACTAAGTGAAATACAATACTTGTCATGTCATCAAAGGATAAAAATTTGAAAATATTGGTAAATGTTCCCTTTGGGGCCCCGCCCTAGCCCCTGGGGATATGCGCGATGGGGCAGGAATCCCAATTTTACAAAGTAATACTCTCATTCACCAAAGATGATTCTGACTAAGTTTGAGTAATTTTCTGCTGAAAATGGATAAAATATATATCCAAAAGTGTTACACTTTGTACTTCCCTATATAAACTATAGTAAACTTTACCCCCTCCCCAAGGGAGAAAGAATAGCTGGGGGGTCCTGAAATTTACAATTTAAGTAAAGCCTGTGATGATCTTTCTTTCCATGCAGAGAAAATGAGTGTAGTACCTCCGAGTCTGAAGAAGAAGATTTTTGAAATATTGGTTAATTTTCTCTTTGGGGCCCCGCCCTGGCCCCAGGGGTTGGGGTAGGAATCTCAATTTTACAATTTGAAACCATCTTCCTCCAAGGATAATTCTCACCAAGTAAAAATAATTTCCTACAGAAAGATGTCAAAATATACCCACAAGTGTTATTTCCCTATATAAACAATAGTAAACTTTACCCCCTCCCCAAGGGAGAACGAATAGCTGGGGGGTCCTGAAATTTACAATTTAAGTAAAGCCTGTGATGATCTTTCTTTCCATGCAGAGAAAATGAGTGTAGTACCTCTGAGTCTGAAGAAGAAGATTTTTGAAATATTGGTTAATTTTTCCTTTGGGGCCCCGCCCTGGCCCCAGGGGTTGGGGTAGGAATCCCAATTTTACAATTTTGTAGCCTCATCTACAAAGGATGACTCTGACCAAGTTTGAAAAAAAATCCATCCACTGGTTCTTGAGAAGAAGTTGAAAATGTAAAAAGTTTATGCACGACGGATGACGGACGACGACAGACGGAAAGCAATTAGAATAGGTCACTTAAGCAAAGCTCAGGTGACCTAATAATTAAATTCAACCAAGTTCCCTTGTCAAAGAAATGTTTGACATACAACTTATCTACACTTTTCCATTTTTTAAAGGTTTATTCTTATTTCCCCTACTGTGCCCCACCCCTCTGGCCCCTCTGTCCCATAAGGTGCAGACTGTGCCCTTCAATTATATGAAACATCGAGCCATACTCCATATTGATTCACATTATAATGATATACATCTCTTCTGAATGAAAGTAATTTTTATAGACAGATGCGCAGGAACCATTATATGAATTATGTGGAAGAGGAAGGTGGAAATGTTCTCTCTCACATCAACACAGCCTAGTTACTGACATGAGTGTACTCTTGATTCGGCCTGTTCTGTTTGTTTTTTGGTTATAATCTGTAAAACTTCAGAACTCATAACAATGTAGTAAAAAGTAGCATGCTTAGTACAATACTATAATTCATCGCTAAAAATGTCCTCTATTGACCAAACTTGTCTAGACGATGCCTGTTTCTGACGTAAATTCAGGCGATTATCACCAACTAATGACCAGAACTGACCTTACCAATCCAATACACACTCGCTTATTGGTCACTAATTGATCAGACCAATTAAATGTCCATTTCATCCAATAATCTGGCTACAGAATTACGGAAACCAGACAGACACCATATCTGGTGTTAGGTAGATAACAGCGGTCACTTTTTGTCAGCTTATAGTAATTGGTCACTCACACTGACCAAATGGGTTTATATATATCTTACAACATAAATATTTCAGCATACCTCATATGGTGAATGTTCCTTACAAGGTGTGTATGAACAAACGGAAGTGAACATACCATATTAGGTTAACATTATTATAATTCATAATAAATATCATATATATATGGTGATCATACCTTATATGGTCATCAAAATTATTGGCATCATTAAGGTCTTGCTGAATCATGAGTCGTAGATTATCATCGTAATCTTGTATTTCCTGTAATAAAGAAACGAAACAACATTAAATCTAAGGCATTATAACATTTTTTAAGGTTTCCAGAAAAAATAGTGTTATCATAGCAATCATGCATCTATTGCAAATGACCAATTATCTTATTAGAAGATTTGACCTAGCAAAATACCTTAATTACCCAGTGAATAAGTTTATTCATGTAATAAAATACTGTATTGATCTAAACAATAATTTAATGCCCTGAAAATAGTGTATGGACCAAACAAAATAGTGTATTGATATAGTAAAAAAATGTGTTGATCATGTGAAATACTAAATTGACCTAGTTAATTTTTTATTGATCTACTAAAATAATGTAATTAAATTCCTCAGGAAAACTATTTTATTGATCAAGTAAAATATTGTATTGATATTTTAAAATACTGTATTGACTTGGTAAAATAATGTATTGACTTGGTAAAATACTGAATTGACTTGGTAAAATACTGTATTGACTTGGTAAAATACTGTATTGACTTTGTAAAATACTAAATTGACTTGGTAAAATACTGAATTGACTTGGTAAAATACTGTATTGACTTGGTAAAATACTGTATTGACTTGGTAAAATAATGTATTGACTTGGTAAAATACTGTATTGACTTGGTAAAATACTGTATTGACTTTGTAAAATACTAAATTGACTTGGTAAAATACTGAATTGACTTGGTAAAATACTGTATTGACTTTGTAAAATACTAAATTGACCACTGCATGCGTGCGGTTTCCTCACTCCCGACTCATTTAATAAACCTGGTAGGTGTTAACACTGGTAAACATTTTTGGTTACCCACCAGTGGGTATAACGCCCTGGATGTGAACTTGAAACAGTTGGTTATAATGTTTATCTAACTCTCAATAGTAAATTTTGTGTGTTTTTATTAGTAACAATAATAATAATAATTTGAGGTTCTTATATACCGCTTTATCACAACCTAGTTCGTAGGTCGTCTCAAAGCAGTTCGCAAATTATTATCCGTGGTTATAGGGCCTTTGCAACCAGCCAATATATTTCTCAACTCCCTGAGGAGCACACAGCCAGTGCTGCCATTTCAGCGCTAACAGCTAGCTTTCAACAATTCTAGCGCTGCCCAACCACATACTCATTTACAGCTGAGTAGACTGGAATAAGTGGAGTTAAGTATCTTGCTCAGAGAAACAACACAGTGGTGTGCCTTGACTCAAACCAGTAACCCTTCGGTCACGAGCCTGGCGTCCTACTACCACTAGACTACTGTGCCTCCTTAATTTAAAAATTAGCTAACTTGAGTTAGACAAACAGGATTATATAACCAAACATCACTCGCCGGGGAACCCCTATGTATCGATCTAGTAAAATACCATACTGTCTTGCAATAATATTGTATATATTTAAAAACATAAACAGTTGTAGAAATCAATAGCTATCACAAAGAAAAAATAATTAACGAGACAATTAAAAAAACGCAGACAGTTTCAACCTGGTCATCAGCTATTCAAGAAAATGTCAACGTCCCATTTTAAAGTTCTCTCGTCTAAAATGATTTAATTACTTCCTCCGAATCTGTGATACGTTTGTTGCTAGTGCGGCCAAACACAGACACGAATTGATTCATTCCAGTATTTATCTGATTCAGACACTGAGCAATCAGCGAACGCTCTAACAGTGGTGTAAGACTTAGTACATGAGCTGAGTAATACAGATATACAATAGTGACGGTGGTGACATATAGTTAACACCAAATAACTTCAGACTTGAAATAAAACTGAAATGTCTTGGACAATAGGTATAATATAGAATGTGTCTAACCACTTTGCCGAATCTGAAAATAAATGGATGAAAATGAAGCTTTATGAAATTTCAAAGTCTTTGAAATGCAGAAATAACTATAAGGATAACTGTCCTCCTACAGGCAAAACAGTGAAGTGCATTCTGTTGTAGTTTTACATGTATAGTTACCTCCCCTTGATTTTATATCAGGTAATAACTTTATTCAGACTTTGAGCCAGCAAAATGCCACCCATCAGGGCCATTGATGCCCAGGCTGATCCTGGAAGGATATTTGTTTTGTTTTCGACAGGCCAAGCAAACCAATATATGGTTATATAATGGGCATCAGGCCAAGCAAACCTATATATGGTTATAAATTGGGCATCAGGCCAAGCAAACCTATCTATGGTTATATAATGGGCACCAGGCCAAGCAAACCTATCTATGGTTATCATATAATGGGCATCAGGCTAAGCAAACCTATCTATGGTTTATAATGGGCACCAGGTCAAGCAAACCTATCTATGGTTATCATATAATGGGCATCAGGCCAAGCAAACCTATATATATAATGGACACCAGGCAAAGCAAACCTATATATGGTTATATAATAGGCACCAGGCCAAGCAAACCTATCTATGGTTATATAATGGGCACCAGGCCAAGCAAACCTTTCTATGGTTATCATATAATGAGCATCAGGCTAAGCAAACCTATATATATATAATGGGCACCAGGCCAAGCAAACCTATATATGGTTATATAATGGGCATCAGGCCAAGCAAACCTATCTATGGTTATATGATAGGCATCAGGCCAAGCAAACATATAAAAGGTTATATAATGGGCATCAGGCCAAGCAAACCTATCTATGGTTATATAATGGGCACCAGGCCAAGCAAACCTATCTATGGTTATCATATAATGAGCATCAGGCTAAGCAAACTTATATATATATATAATGGGCACCAGGCCAAGCAAACCTATATATGGTTATATAATGGGCATCAGGCCAAGCAAACCTATCTATGGTTACATGATAGGCATCAGGCCAAGCAAACCTATATATGGTTATATAATGGGCATCAGGCCAAGCAAACCTATCTATGGTTATCATATAATGAGCATCAGGCTAAGCAAACTTATATATATATAATGGGCACCAGGCCAAGCAAACCTATCTATGGTTATATAATGGGCATCAGGCTAAGCAAACCTATCTATGGTTATATAATGGGCACCAGGCCAAACAAACCTATATATGGTTTTATAATGGGCACCAGGCCAAGCAAACATATAAAAGGTTATATAATTGGCATCAGGCCAAGCAAACCTATCTATGGTTATATGATGGGCAGCAGGCCAAGCAAACCTATATATGGTTATATGATGGGCATCAGGCCAAGCAAACCTATATATGGTTATATAATGGGTATATCAACCATTTCTACAAGCCATGATCATGGGCTTTATGAGATTCTTTAGGCCTCTAGACAGCTGCTTGTTTAGAAATTGACGCTTTTTTATATTTGACCACTAGCTGTGATCTTCAAAGCAGGTCAAAGTCATTATGAAAACAGCACTCTATGCCTGGTACCCACTTCTGGGCTACAACTCGTATCCAATTATCTAGACCTCCTGCTTTTTTTTCAAAAACTTGTTTCACCGGATTTGACTCCTAGCTGTGACCTTGAAAGTAGGTCAATGTCATTTATATGATGAACTTTACAGCATTCAACCCTAGGTACCTTCTGGGTAAATATCATGACTGATTCTTAAAATGAGGTTTCAAGAAGACGTTTTGAAAAGAAAAAAAAGTTGAAGGACAGAGGATGATGGATGAAGGCACTGCACCCAACCTTAATTTAACTCGCAGGCACTTCATGCAAGGTGATCGAAAAACATGTACAGAAAACATACAGATTGCATAACAAATTCAATAGCCAGAGTATGTGTACTGTATCCACCAACTACAAATCCAGGAAACCTTTCACGAAGCAAAATAGGGCCTTGATAGTTGGTGGCATTGCAGACCTCATTACGTGTGACGCTGACCTTGTTTCCACTCTCTGTATGGGTTCACTAATTGCCTTGGTGGTGCGAATTCTAATTTTTGTCAGGGTTTATAGTACACCTCAGGGTTACAAGATGCCCCAGGGTCAGCAAAGTAACATAGATGAGGTTAGATTCTAATTCTGTTAAAATTCTAACAACACCTATGAGAACACGTTGCCGGTCTTGTTAGCCGTACTTTCCTAAATACATCTTGACATTATATTTCCTGTTTGGGGAATTAAACAGCTTTTATTTTCCTGTTCGCCTTTGTTGTTTTACATTTAGTAGCCATCGTTGGTGCCATGCCACCTGATACACTGATCAGGTAGTACATGTCGAGGCCAAGCAAGCTACAGTGACAACAGCAATGACCTAACACTACACACCTGACACACTGATCAGGCAGTACATGTCCAGGCCAAGCAAGCTACAGTGACAACAGCAATGACCTAACACTATACACACCTTAAGGTGAAGGGTACCATTGAATCACTTGTAATCAAGGAGAAGAGTTCCAATGACAATTTGTTATCCTCCATTCTATTTAGAATATAAAGCAACCCAAAAGGAGTTTTTCAAGCATGGAGTTACTTCCCCTGTCAACTTTTTATATGTTTTTATATGTTTTGCAGGCCATAGATTGGACATTCATTTGGTCAATTCCTAGAAGGCAACATTGATAATGCACAGGCTGATCAATGTGAAAGGTCCCACGGGCTGATTAAAGGTAAAGGTCCCACGGGCTGATTAATGTTAAACGTCCCACGGGCTGATTAAAGGTAAAGGTCCCACAGGCTGATTAATGTAAAACGTCCCACGGGCTGATTAATGTTAAAGGTCCCACGGGCTGATTAAAGGTAAAGGTCCCACGGGCTGATTAATGTAAAACGTCCCACAGGCTGATTAATGTTAAACGTCCCACGGGCTGATTAATGTTAAAGGTCCCACGGGCTGATTAATGTTAAACGTCCCACGGGCTGATTAATGTTAAACGTCCCACGGGCTGATTAAAGGTAAAGGTCCCAATTGTGAAGTATTTCTGATAGCATTGCAGATATAATATCACATCTTGTAACATTTAACTGTGACTGTACAGTACACCGGTGTAACACAGGATTACTTTCCACTATTTTGGTACATATTTATACAGCTGGGCAGGCTAGAACAAACAGGGGGTTATACAGTATAGATCATTTTCTGGTATCAAGATCTTCCATGTTGTTTGTACACTATAATGCTACACATTTATGGTGAGCTTTATTTCTTATTACCAGAACAGTTTCCTAACAAATTTAATTTGCAAATTTTCAGATGAAAACAAATTGTATTAACTTGTCAGTGTTAACTTGTCGTGAAGATAACCAGGGTCTTTAAGATCCTTTACACTAGCTCCAGTATAATCTGGATCGTATCAGGAAACAAAACAAATTGCAGCCTGTCACGTCCAGGACATCTGGTGGAGGTATCACAGTGTTTACGCTTTTCTCTCTCCAATTATAACACGACCATATTGATGTCATTAGCAAATGAGATAACCACAAAATGAATGATGATCATGAATTACACATCAAACACAAGATTGCTACAGTGCTAACGCTACCATACCTGTAGTAATTTAATTTGATAAATGTCTGCCATATATTATGATGTCAACAGTGATTTCTGGTTTTGAAATAGCTAGTGTACAACGATGATGTCGCAAAAACCTTTTTTTCCAACTCAAGGGCTTTGATAAAATCTGGCTGTATTTAATTACTTGTGAAACCAGGTTTATGCATAAAATATAAACTTTATCTATTTTACAACAATTATGAAACAAGTTATTTCAACTTATATTAATCACTCTTGTTGGCCCGGATGTTAGCGCACAGAGGGTCTATATGTGGGAGGAAACCGGAGTACCCAGAGAAAACCCACGTGGTCGGGCAGGTGATCCATTACCTTTTCACGTCCGATCGGGGAATCAAACCCTGGTCGCCTTGGTGAAAGGCAAGTGTGCTATCCACTGCGCATGCACCACCCGACCACCCACGTAATTTTTAGATTTACTACTTTGTGCCAGCTAGAAAGCTTAAAGAATTGTCTACGATTTAACACATATCACCTCTGTAACCTTTGATATAGGTCAAGCCCTCTATCTCTGCATGCCACTGACAATATATCCTGACTCTATGCATTTCAGTTCTTTAGAAGAAGACATACAAGTCCTCCAAGACATTGTTCAGCATCTGTGCCATGTAAGCTAATAATTCTGCCGAATTCAACGAGTACAAAATTACTGACTTAATTCAAACAGCAGCCCAACATATTTCAATGCTCAAAATCAATGAAAAACATTAAAAAAAACCACCAAACTATTTGATATATTAGGGCATGTGATATTCTCTGAAGAATAAAGATAAGTTTATTTTCCATTTGAAGGGAAATCCCCAGATGTCAGAGTGAAGTTTGAATCAACGGCCACCATATTGGAACTGATCTTTAGTGAGGAGATGCAATCTTCGGTCATTTGGTGGTGGTCTTAATGTCTGGTCGTAAAACTCGGCTGTCACTAATCGGTAAATGTTACTACAGTTTGATTGCTTCCAACATGACAAAGCTGAGTCTTAAATAACTCAGTCTGGTGCGACCATACCAAGAAGCCCGATATCTAAATAGGTGTTTTAGGTTTCCTGAACAACCCTTGTTTTGAGCCATAATGATAGAATTTTATTTTTTATAAATTGATGGTCCCTCCAAGTGAAAACTTATTTCCCTGGAATAAGCTTCCAGGGAAATAGTTTTTCAGATTACTATTTCCTGAATAACCCATTCTAACACTGTTTTTAATATAACGAAACAAATTTAGGCAATTTAACAAATGAATTCATTAATTCAATTCTTAAAACAATTTCGAAGAGAAAAAAATATTACAATTTGGAGGCAAAAAACCCAATCATATATCTTTTTGTAACAAAACAAAAAATGTCAATAATTGAACACTTAAACTGGACAATCTGAATGTATTAGTCACATAGAGTTAATTTAATTAAATTCTTCAAGCAATTCCAATGGCAAACATTATCACATCCTTGTGAGAAATGGCCAACATCAGCAGTCATTTTCACTGTTGTCGTTGCATTTAATTAGTCCTATTTTGGGGAGGGAGCTAGCAGTCCTATTTTGGGGAGGGCTTAGCCCTAAGATAGAGAGATTTAAATGATTTTAGGGAAATAGATTTTATCGCATTTTTTGATTCAGGGAAAACTCAGTTGAGGTATTTATAATAATTAAACTTGTTGGCAGTGTAAATTAAATTTGGTTTTTGTGATATAGCTAAAGTTATTGATAATTTGTTTTTACAATTTTTCTTGAAATATTGCATTGGTGCTAAAAGTCCAAAATTTAACATCCCAAATTATAACATAACTTTATGGAATGATGAAACCATACATACAAATTTGTTTATGGCCTGTTTCATGTGTTACCAGGCCGAATTTGAATTGGACGATAGCATGTAGCACTACACACGCGCATATACTTTTCTTACATGAAAATAAACAGCATGCAAGCAAACAGAAGATGCTAAAATCAATATGCTGGTACATAGGAATCAAGGGTTTCAGTGATCTTCACTTGGAAAAAAATCCGTACAGAACTTGATCTTCGTTGTTTTCATAACCTCCTTCCCCTGTCAAGACTGACAGAAGTTGTGTAGCGACACATTCAAACATAACTACTGTAAACAGGAGCCAGGCATGCAATACAGCTGTTAGGAGATCCTGCTCTGTTATAGAGTGATAGAAATTATGTATGACAAACTTTTATTTCATGGTTAAACCTGAAGTGGGATATGAGAATTAAAATCCTGAAGAACGTTATGCACGGTAACTCAATTTGCAATAACATCAGGTAAAACTGTAATTCATTTTGTGATGTGTACCATACAGCGTACATGTAGCAGTATACTTTATTATCTACTCAATAAGATTCATCAATTTGGAAATATGTGATAGCAAAATTTTACAATGTAAGTATTAAACGTGTCGCAACGTTTCAAGACAGAAGTGTTGGTCCCTTTGTCAAGCTATGACTGAGTGAGCAGTTTGTACTTTTTTACCTGTACAACCACATGTATACACAAAATTGTATATTTTATAAGACACTCTACCTGGGACGTTTCGTCTATTGCTAGGAATCGTATACACACTGCATCAGATAGGTTACAGGTAGGGTGTAGATCTAGCCCCCTCCCCTGTTATGTCAATATCGGGTCGTACGGATAACTCAGCTGGTGTCCCCCCTCGTCTCTGTTTATGTTCTGAGTATTCCTGATTTTGTTTGCTTCTTTGATTTGTCTTGCAACTTTCATATTTTGGTATAGTTTATGATGTACTATACAGTTTACATTTAGAGGTATGTATAGTTGTCAGAAAAAGCCATTTGAAAGGTTTTACAAATTTGACCTCTTTAACTGTGACCTTGAATACATTACACATTATACAGCATCCAATGCCAGTAAATTACTGGCCAAATATTATCATGTCTCAGAAGTTGGCCATTTGGCCATGGTTCTCCAGAAAACTTCGTTCAAACATTAAAGTCATAAACAACGCGATTGTAAAGCTTTCCCTGGTGGCTGTGTTTATTATCACATTTTGTTTTCCCTCATACACTTTGTAATATATGAACAAAGGGTGCTGTATATTAAAAATCGGAATCATCTGACACCTGGTTTGTTACGAGAAGTTGTTTTTGGAAACCTCAAATTTGTCTCCTTTTTGGCCCTACAAATGGGCTAGCCCTTTTCTCTTTCTCAAATCTAAATGTTCACTGTCTAGGGACACTTGCTTCCAAATTCAGTTGTACATGTAATTGGCCATGTGGTTTTTGAGAAGAAGTTCAAAGGAAAGTTTACGGAGGGAATGACAGAAGACGGACGGCAATGGATCCTAAATGCTCCATTGGCCCTTCGGGTCAGCTGACCTAAAAATGTTATGATCAACAGCTCAACGAATGGGTGATCATATTTCTTTTGATGTCCTGTAGCTCACTCTGCCTCTTTTCTTAATTTTATAATAAATCTAAAATGACTGACCTGGTTGCTGCTGTGTAGTGTTGTTTCTTTGTGACTGGGTGGAAGGAAGACATCGTGCACGTTCCGTCGGATGATGTAACCAACAATCATGCCCACAGCGAGGCAGGCAGCCAACAGGAGGAGTTTTAAGGCACACCCTTTCTGCCCACTAAAGAAGGACAATTTGGAAGTCGATGCATTGTCTAGATTTTTGTATTCAATATCAACTTTTTCAGATTCAGCATCCCATCTTGACACTTGTTTCCCAGCAATATATTTACCCTTGGTGGGCATCCTGTGGAAAAGAAAGAAAAAATAGAAATATTTTTGACAAATTTTGAAAATAACATGAACAATCTACAAGGAGATTAATTACAATGTTGTTTTCTCCTAATGCTAGGATGACTTATCACATGAAAAATAGGGCCTGTATGACAAACCATTATCAGCATTGTCTCCGTTTTACCAGTTAAGATTTCTGTCACCCCAAGGGTATGACTCCACTGTCACCCAAAGGGTATGACTCCACTGTCACCCCAAGCATATGACTCCACTGTCACCCCAAGGGTATGACTCCACTGTCACCCCAAGCGTATGACTCCACTGTCACCCCAAGGGTATGACACCACTATCACCCACTGGTATACATTGGTGGTACAAATGTATTCTGTGTTACCTATATTGATGGTACAAATGTACTGTGCGGGAAAAAACAGCATATAGCTGCATTGTATTTTTTTTCTGCATTTTAGAATTTACTATAATTAGAAACAAAGCCCTGAGAAGAAATGCTTAGGAAAAGATGCAATTGCTTCCAGAAGGGTTTGCACTTGAGGAAGAAACTGATCAACAACCAGTACGCAGTGTACATGTAGAACAATTGTATACATGTATATAAAAAAAAGTTAAAAATGCGATTTATTTGTCAACGTAATGTCATGTATTTACCTTGCATCGGACATTGTTGTTACCGCTGGTTGAGACTGTCAACACCAGTATCTAATTTCAGTAACTTCCTTTCGTTTACTTCCGTCGTTACATAAAACGGTTTTGGATTGGCTATCAGATTTCCATTGTAATTTTGGATATAAAAGTCAGGGTTTAGGATGTTTCAGCTTTGATAGCACTGACCTGCTTACAGGCTCATTTCTCTCTCTACCTTTTTATCTTTCTCTTTATAATTCCTGTCTGTGGGGTTACTCAATTCAAATCATTTAGAATACAGTCCTATATACATATAGAAATGTTCAGTGATCACATTATACATGAACTCAAAGTGTAAAAGGTCCGTTTCTCTTATATTGATCAGTGTTATCTAAGTTACACAAAGTTCAATCACATTTGCAAACAAGTCTCATAATTCTTTTAATATTTAATATAGAAAGGAATTAAAGGCAATGCAATAAAATATCAAGAAGCAATCTTCAAACAGATCTGAAGAAATGAGTATATTATTCTTTCAAGTATATCAGTTTATAACAGGAATGTTTGATTTACTGAAATTGATATGTATAAGACAATTCGAAATTTTATTTAAAGACAATACCTTTAAAACGATGCATTATTATAGCTCTTTAAGAAGTTTTAAACCAAATACAAAGTCACAGACCTAGATAGGCCCTGGCATGGGCTGTATATTAAGTCTAGTAAAAACTCAGCGTCACCAAAACAATTCAAAATAGAATATAAATCATACTTGACAGAATCATAATGCTGTTCTGTGTTGTTATGCAAAAACATAATTGACATTCACGTTGGTCACCGCTTTTTATAATCATAATTTGAAATCTGTGTATTCCCACATGCGATCAAAATCGATAGCAATAATTGAAGTCAAATGTTTTCCAATTTGAACAGTTATATTAACATAAACATTCTAAAAACTCAAACTTCAATTATCGTTATAGAATAACGTTGAACAACAAAAACAGACGATGAACGGCGACCCGATGAACGGTCGCAACTAGGCTAGAATCAGAACGTAAACATAACAGAACTGGAGAAAACAAATACAATATTTACCTTATCACTTCAGATTGAGCGTGAACAGTATCCAGTGTATTTTTGTTGATCAAGTTTACTCTGTGACATATCAACGGGTTAACTTAGCATTAAATAGCAGTTTTAAACTGCACAAAAAGATCGTTTTTGACGTGTGTTTCCATGTCGGTTTTCTTGAAGGTTCTAAAAACGCTTGTAACGGTTGTATTGATATTGAAGCGTTTTACTGAGCAAGAAACATTCTAATTTAGTGTAAAAAGGAGCCAATTATGGAGAAAATTTACGGATGATCTCTTTAATCGAATAGTTATCTTCAAAAATATTTTATTCACTTGAAGGCATGCATTGATAGTTCAAGTTTTTTTTTACAGCATAAATCAATTGCATATTGATTGTTCCCTATTAATGGCAGATCTATAAATTAAATTTATTATTTTTTCCTACAAGTGTTAATCTTTCTTGATTATATAGCTGAAGTCATGCATGGCTGATCAAAACATGAGAAGATAACCAGTGTTCATAGAATACAAAAACAATATATTTTCGTGACCTATTGAGTTCAGGGCAGGTGATTGAAACCTTTTCCATGTCCGTTTGTCCTGACCACTAATCTCCACCCTTCAGCTCACCTTAAGCTATAGCTAAGCCGAGCTAATGCTTTCATATGACACAGATAAAATTCAAAGCGCAAACTCATCTTAAGATAAAGTGTGAGACAAAACCCAACCAAACTGATGAAGTCATGCATTGGAGTCACTCAGTTCCTGAGCTTCCCTTAGAGACTGAGACACAGCAGACAGAGCAGCTAAACCCTGAGCTAAGGACTGTGACAGGGAGTTGACCCTGTAAAAGCTTAAGTGTGACAGGGAGCTGACCCTATTCAAGATTAAGTGTGACAAGGAGCTGACCCTGTAAAAGTTTAAGTGTGACAGGGAGCTGACCCTGTAAAAGCTCAAGTGTGACAGGAAGCTGACCCTGTAAAAGCTTAAGTGTGACAGGGAGCTGACCCTGTTAAAGCTTAAGTGTGACAGGGAGCTGACCCTGTTAAAGATTTGTGTGACAGGGAACTGACCTTGTTAAAGCTTTTGTGTGACAAAGCACAGTCGTAGCTATAAAGCCTATGGATGACAAGAGCTGACCCAGCCAAATTAAGCTTTAGTGAAAGGTAAACCGAACTATAGCTTTTGTGTGACATTTAAAAATTCCCAGCTAAAGCTTTAGGGTGACAAAGAGCAGACCCAGCTTAAACTTTAGGGTGACAAAGAGCAGTCCTGGCTAAAGCTTTAGGGTGACAAAGAGCAGACCTGGCTAAAGCTTTAATTAGGGTGACAAAGAGCAGTCCTTACTAAAGCTTTAATTAGGGTGACAAAGAGCAGTCCAGGCTAAAGCTTTAGGGTGACAAAGAGCAGTCCTGGCTAAAGCTTTCATTAGGGTAACAAAAAACAGTCCTGGCTAAAGCTTTAATTAGGGTGACAAAGAGCAGTCCTGGCTAAAGCTTTAGAGTGACAAAGAGCAGTCCAGGCTAAAGCTTTAGGGTGACAAAGAGCCGTCCTGGCTAAAGCTTTCATCAGGGTAACAAAAAACAGTCCTGGCTAAAGCTTTAATTAGGGTGACAAAGAGCAGTCCTGGCTAAAGCTTAGAGTGACAAAGAGCAGACCTGGCCAAAGCTTTAGGTTGACAAAGAGCAGTCCTGGCTAAAGCTTAGAGTGACAAAGAACAGTCCTGGCTAAAACTTGCTAAAGATTTAGGGTAACAAAGAACAGTCCTGGCTAAAGATTTAGGGAAACAAAGATCAGTCCCAGCTAAAGATTTAGGGTAACAAAGATCAGTCCCTGCTAAAGATTTAGGGTAACAAAGAGCAGTCCCAGCTAAAGCTTTAGGGTGACAAAGAGCAGACCCAGCCAAAGCTTTAGGGTGACAAAGAATAGTTCTGGCTAAAGCTTTAGGGTAACATATATAAGGTTCACATAGAACTTTAGTGTGAGGCAAATAAAGTACTAATGTTTTCTTACATTTCCCAAAGTGGGACAGTTTTATGGCTCCTGGTAGGCAACTTCATTGAATGAAAAGCTCAATCAAGGTGTTGATTGAATTATTTAATCATTGCAGTAAATTCAAGATTTGTTGTAAGCTATAAAGATTAATTATACATGCAACCATTATCATTAGCTCTTCATTTTCAATTTCCATAAAAGAATTATTAAAATGAAGATGACAAAGAGCTATAATATGATATTGCAATAACGTGGTCTAGGTTTTTAAGCACACACCAGGGTCTCTATGTAAATAGATTTGGTGTTGGAGGTTTGGCCATTCTTATTAAATGAACAGCCCTACATACTCAGTAAAACACAGCTAAGGACATTAGTGGGACTTCAAATCAAATTAAAGTCTACTCACCGGCATACCCTAATAGTATCAACAGTTAACCTTTCTGTCAACAGACTCATATCAGGAACAATCTCACACATCAGGGACAAATTCTCCTAAGTGTTTTTGAAGGGGAAACAATTCGCTTGTATGGTCCAGTTGAACCTGTCACTGTTGAAGTTATTGATTCAGATGTGGAGGAGATAAAGGGATTCTTCAACATTCCCCAGTAAATGCATCTTTATGACTTTGGACTGGTATCTGAGTATTGCCCTAGGACTGAACATGTATAGATGAATGCATATTTAAAGCATATGAGATAAGTTTTATGTAATTACAAATTTACATATCCTAGTACTTTAAGGAAATGTAAGAAGAGGTAGATAGAATACAAATGGTATAAAGATCCCACATAGGATTTCCGGGTAGTAGTGAGTATACATGTATAATCCAGTTGGAGTTTCCCAGACCAGTATTTCCATAAAAGTCTGTGTGCCTGGATTATACCCGAGCCTGCAGTAAATTATTTAGTCTGACAAACACCAGAGGCCTTTTAAGGTCCCACGTACTCTGTAGCAAACGGATCTGTATTTATTACAAGACAGCAGACCTGGAGCTACCACAAAATATTCATAAAATTTAAAATCTCTCCAGCAGTCATAATAACCTATTAAAATTAATTTAGTGAAAATGATCATCAACGAGAGAAATAATACCTAAAACTTAACAATGATGATCAATAAGTCTATATATATATATATACATAAAGACACTAAAAATCTAAAAGATTGCCTTTTGTATAAAAAATAAATTCAATAACTCTAGGAAATATAATGTCTGTTTCTATGCATTATTAAGTTCAAGTAGTGATTCTGAGGTTAAAATGTAAGTAATCAAAGTTTTACAATTATCTAATGTAATTTT